ACCCATGTTATGTACTGTGATGTAATATTTTATGTTCCAAAAATCCCACAAATTTTTCGCAGAAAGTCAAGAGCTGATGACTCACTCAAATGTGTTTAAATCTTATTTCTGTTTCTTTGCCATCTCTGTGTCTTCTAGACACCCCAGGTTCATGAGGAAGGACCAGATGTGTAGCCCCTTGCTGAGCTACCAGTTTAGAGCTTTGTTGGGGGATGTGAATGGCCTGTGCTAATCAACAGCTCTGTGTGGGGTGAGGACATATTTGGGAGCTGAGAGAGAAAGAGGCACAATTTTTTTTTTTAAATTAAGAATGGGTCCAGCCGGGCGGTGGTGGCGCACGACTTTAATCCCAGCACTCGGGAGGCAGAGCCAGGCAGATCTCTGTGAGTTCGAGGCCAGCCTGGGCTACCAAGTGAGTTCCAGGAAAAGGCGGCGCAAAGCTACACAGAGAAACCCTGTCTCGAAAAACCAAAAAAAAAAAAAAAAAAAAAAAGAATGGGTCCATTTAAGCGGACTCTTAGAATTCTGCTAAAATTACCACTGACAAGTAACATTGTATATTTAATCCTATCCCTTTTAATAATAAGACAAACAAACCAAAAAACCTGGGTAACGCTTTTCATCAGGCCATACATGCCTATACTGCAGTTTTTTTAGACTCCTTCTAGACTCTAGATCATTCCATGGGACATTCAAATGTCTTCCCAGAGAACACCAGCCTTGTTCTTGAACCTCTTCCTCAGTGTTCTGATGGTCTCAGCCTCCCTGGCTGCCTCCATGTTGTCCCATGCCGTGTCCCCTTCAGCTCTCTACCTACGGGCTTCAGTGTTGGTCTGCCCTCCTCTTGCCTAGCACTTCACCAGCTCCCCATTTCCCAGAGGATGGATTTGTTTCTGAAAGTGCTCCTTCTTACAAATCCCTGGTTCATGCTCAGCTCTGAGCTACTCTCACAGACTGCAGAAATGGTGATATGTACTTATTAGTGTTCGGCTGGCCTGGCAAGCTCTTCCGGTTTAGTCATTGCCCACCCAGGTTCACCACAGGAGCCATCTGGTGCCCACCTGTGTATGATTCTGGCATGGATGAATGAGTGCCCATTAGTTCAGCCTTTCTGTTAGCATGCTTAATTTGATTTAGCGGACACAGAGAACCAATGGATGGCGACTCTTTATCTCCTTATGCCCCTTGTTTCAACTAATCAACCTCGTCTATCACAGGCTCCCCTTTCTTCCCAGTGTTATGTACACCCATTCCTTCATTGGGTTCATGAACTAATCATCTTTTAAAATCCCCTCTCTGGTAAGATGCACACAGTTAAGAGGCCCTTGTAGAATGCATTCACAATCACTATGGTTTTTCACAAAACTTCTAAATTTTATGATTCCTCATTTTACCTTTTACCACTAACTTTGCTAAATTAATTTAAATGCGCTGGGCAGTGGTGGCACATGCCTTGAATCCCAGCACTCGGGATGCAGAGGCAGGCAGATCTTTGTGAGTTCGAGGCCAGCCTGGTCTACAGCGCGAGATCTAGGAAAGGCGGAAAGCTACATACCTTGTCTCGAAAAATAAAAAAAAAAATTAATTAATTTAAATGCTTTAGTTTACTGAGTTAAAGTCTTCTTCTATGTTCCAAAATCCTTCAAAGTTTTCTTAATACTTAATCAAAATTATCCTGCTTGTGAAGAGATAAATGTGGAAAACTTTGGTGGTCTCTTGTTACCCTATGTTGCACAGTGGAGTATGGATTGGCAGGATTCCTCTGCAAAGAGCCAAATTTTAAATATTTTTAGGGTGTGTGGATCGTAAGGTTGCTGTTGGAGACATTCCACTCTGCAGTTATAGCTCGATAGCAGCCACAAACAATAAGCAAATAAGTTAGTGTGGCTAGACGCCATTACAAATTCATTTACAAAAACAAGCATCCCCAGGACCAGGGGTTGTCAACTCCCCAAGTCATCTGGAGACTTGCTTTGGTGTTAGAGGATTTGATCAGACTCTGTTCAGGGACTGAACATTTCCATTGCATGGTCCTGAGTGATGCTCTGAAGGCTTGTGCCATGCCATGTACTGGGGTTTTTCCAGAAGCAGAAGCTGAGGGGGTGAGATTAAATAAAGTTCCATGTGCTTCCACAAGGATGCTCTGTGCTCAGCATATCAGGACTTGCATCCCTAGTGAACCTGAAACTCCTTTGTGCTGCTCTGGCATAAAGAATGAGAGCTTATAAAGGGCTATTGGGATCTTTAGTTGTAGTACAATTTTAAAGGTAATGCGTCACAGTAATGACCCCAAGGGACAAAATCAGTGTAGCAGAAATACTAATTAATATTAAACATTTTCAGTAAGCCATTTGGGAAATGGAACAGTAGCCTGGAGGCCTTCACTGGGATTTCTTCCTATGGTCATTGCATGGAAAGTATGGACCCCAGAAATGTGCACATTGGAAATTGCAATCAAGGAAAAGTCAATTCAAAAAGCATGTTTCTGTGACTCCAACATGTAACATATGCATAAGGCCTGTTGTTCAGTATTCAGCCAGGGTTTGTTGACTAACAGCTTAAGATGAACAAGTCTCTACCCTAAACATCAGGAAAATGCATTGAGGGAAACCAAACTGACCTGCTCTCCCAGAGCCTGTACTCTTATGGGAATGGCAAAGATGTTTGAGGATCAAGGAGACACGCACAAGGAACTACTTGGAATTAAATGTTATGGGATATTTTTTGATAAATAGGTTTACTTTAAACAACTCTTTTTCCTTTATCTTGTTATTATTGGTTTTCTTAGGAAGAGACTATTCTGATAATTTTACTGAACCAAAATTAATTGACTGCCTACTGTGCACCGATACTACCAGGGTGTTCTGGCTGGTTTTGTGTCAACTTGACACAAGCTGGAGTCATCAGAGAGGAAGGAGCCTCACTTGAGGAAATGCTTCTGTAAGATCCAGCTGTAAGACATTTTCTCAATTAGTGATCCATGCGGAGGGCGGGCTCAGCCTATTGTGGGTGGAGCCATCCCTGGGCTGGTGGTCCTGGGTTCTATAACAAAGCAGGCTGAGTGAGCCATAGGAAGTAAGCAGCATCCCTCCATAGCCTCTGCATCAGCTCCTGCCTCCAGGATCCTGCCTTGCTTGTGTTCCTGTCCTGGCTTCCATCAGAGATGAACAGCAGTGCTGAAGTGTAAGCCAAATAAACCCTTTCTTCCCCAACTTGCTTTTTGGTCATAGTGTTTTGTCCCAGCACTAGAAACTCTGACTAAGACATAGGGATACATAAAATCTGAACAAAATTTCTAAGCATCCCCTTCCTCAAGGAGCTTCGTTCTGATGGAAAAAAACAGAACACACAATTGAAAAGTCAAATTTATAGCAGGACATTATGGCTCATGCCCTTAATCCCAGCACTCCCAGGGGCTTCTGGTCTACAAGGTGAATTACAGGCCATCCAAGGCTACACAATGAGAGCTTGTCTCAAAAAACAAGAGAGGAGAGAAGGGAGGGAGAAAGGAAGGGAGGGAGAGTGGGAGTGAGTCACGAAGTCAAACTTATAGAGCATTAGAGGATACCTCGGAGGCAGACAGTGAAGCAAGAACGCAGCATATGAAGTGTTGGGAGAGGCGGAGATTTAGAATGAGTGGTCAAGAAAGACTCCTTACACAGGTGACTTCTTAAAAAATGGGGGGTGGGGACTTTATTTTTATTTCATGTGTATATGGGTGTTTTGCTTGCATGTATGTCTGTGCACCGTGTGCATGAATTGTCTGTGGAGGCCCCAGAAAAGGGTATTGGGTCCTCTGGATCTGGTGTTAGGAACAGCTGTTAGCCAGCATGTGAGTGCTAAGGAAGAACCCAGGTCCTCTGGAAGAGCAGCCAGTGCTCTTAACCACTGAGCCATTTCTCCAGCTCCATAGGTGGCTTTTTTGTTTGTTTGTTTGTTTTTGTTTTTGTTTTTCGAGACAGGGTTTCTCTGCATAGCTTTGCGCCTTTCCTGGATCTCGCTCTGTAGACCAGGCTGGCCTCCAACTCACAGAGATCCGCCTGCCTCTGCCTCCCGAGTGCTGGGATTAAAGGCGTGCGCCACCACCACCCGGCCCATAGGTGGCTTTTGATGAAATGTTTAAAGAAAATGGATGAATGAGCTAGCAGTGTGATGGTGAAGAGAAGGTCACTCTAATTAAGCAATCAGCAAGTTCGAATCCTTAAGACCTGGAGTGTTCAGGAGACATCAAGAAAGCCGAGTGTAGTAAGTGAAGGGAAGAGTAATTGGGAATGAGATAGATGGGCTGAAGAAGGCTAGATCAAACCTAGTCGCTATGACAACAGGATGTTGAATTCTATGCTGAGAAGACATTGAGGAGTTTTGAGCAAAGGAGGAAAATGGCCAAGTTCACATTAAAATAACTCCTGTTGTCAAGAATACACAATAGATACAAGAAGCCTGGCAGGAGGGTCTTTCTGTAATCTAGGTGAGATGTTAAACCTCTCCAGATATGATGCCTCAGAGGGAAGGGCAGAGACAAAAGTGGAGGAACCAGTGCCCCAGGGTCTACCTGTCACCTGAGTGAGAGCCTCTGGAGCAGTGAATATTAATAATCCATTGATTGGCCATTGCTGTAACATCAAAGAGAAAGAACCATAATGTCGGATGCATAGTAGGTGCTCAGCGCTGGGTGGTTAACTGTTGTGAAACAACACAAAGTGACAATGCAAACCATCTTTGCTTCACAGCTGCCTCCTCTGACCAAGCTCTCCCACCAATACATTTAATTTATGAATTAGCATAATTAAAATGTGTTAATGTTCTCAGAATGCTTCAGATTCCCATGGGATGCCTTAAATTAAAATGGTGGAATAATAATGATTCCACAGAAACATTTTTTTATCTCCTACTTTTACGAAGTGAAAGTACTTTTACTGTGTTTTCTATTCTAAGGCTTAAGATGGAATGTAACTGAAAAAAATGTTTCTTTTCTTTCTTCCTTTCTTTCTTTTTTTTAGGGAACAACTTAATTCTTTACTGGAGGCTTATAATGTTTTCTATGAAAACCAGAAAAATCTGCATATTTTGTATGGACAGGTAAGTGCACTAAAGAAATGCAACAGCTTGATTCACAGAGTCTTTACCATGTACCTGAGTCAGGGTGAGCTGGAGTCTAGAACCTAGGGACACGTGGGGGTCTATATAAGCAGATAAATCTCTAATTTATCCTGATTGTCATGTTTAGAGTAATTCACAAAATAGTAGGCCTGGAATGCCTGCGAGTTTCTAAGCCTTGCTGGCAAAGGAAAGCATACAAAAAAATAATATTAAGGACACATTTGCTTTCTGTTTTAAAATGGAATGTTTCTCAAATAATGGATAATGTTATGAACAGTAAGCCCACTACTTTCTTACATTCAAAGCAACATGTGTGTGGAGAGGTGTGAACTGTGACACCATTTGCAATGAGAAAATGTGACAGTACCCTTGTAGCCACCAGTGTGGTATTATTGTAACAAATCATGCTGTACCTGTAAAGTCGAGTTTGATTTGTTCATTAAAATGAATAAGTTGAGTTCTAGTGAATGTATGCTATCTCATAATGTCAATAATCTTAAAATGTTAGAGAAATAGTTCAGTCGTTAAATTGCCTACAAATTGGCTTTTCATAATCACCAATGACTTTCTAATAAAACTTTCTAGTTTCTATGCTCTCAAAGTTTCTATAGCAATAATATATTACCTTAATAAAAAGATATTTAGCATATAAAAAACAAGATAGGTTTGAAAATTGTATGAGAATTGCTTTGTTCTTAACTTTTCTTTATGTATTTGCAAAATATACAGACACCTGTTTGCTCTTTTTTCTTCACTCACACATTTACTCCTTTTGTTATACCATTTCTATTTTGAATGAGTACTTAAAACTATTAATTTTTTCACAAATTTATTGTGTGTGTGTGTGTGTGTGTGTGTGTGTGTGTGTGTGTGTGTGTGTGGTGCATGCACATAAGTATGCAAGCATACATACCTTGTTCACACCTGTGTGTGTGTGGTGGGGGGTGCATGAACATAAGTATGCAAGCATACATACCTTGTTCACACATGAGGAGGCCAAAGCATGATGTCTCTGGCTATCACTCCTCTCTTTATTGCTTTGAACCAAGGTCTCTCACCGAACTGGAAGCTTGCTGCTTCGGGCTAAACCATTCAGAGAGCCCTAGGGCTTGACTTTCTCCAGCCCCTGGTGCTGGGGTGATGGACAGACACAGTCATGCCAGGTTTTCACACAGGGGCTGGGGATTTGAACTTGGGTTTCCTGTAGATGTATCCAACCTTCTTATTAAATAATAAACACGGAACCAATGCAAAGAAGAAAGCCAAGAGGTCAGAGCTAAGAGCTAAAACCTTACCCTTCCTCCTGCGGTGGTCCTACCTCTCCGAACCAGAGCTACCCCTGTGTTAAAGTCTTTATATAGAGTTCCTGTCCTGCCTTCTCATTGGTTGTAAACCCAACCACATGACCGCCTCCTCACAGCCTGTCTGTATAGGCCTCCAGGTTTTCCATGATTGGTATTAAGATTAAAAGCATGTGTATCCAATAATGGCTGTATCCCTGAACACACAGAGACTTACCCAGCTCTGCCTACCAAGTGCTGGAATTACAAGCGTACGCTACCACTGCCCTGCTTTCCTATGGCTTGCTAATAGCTCTGACCCCCGGGCAACTTTATTTATTAACATACAAATAATATTTTAATACAAATAAAATATCACCAGTTTCCACTTTTCTGTTTTGTATCATGTAGTGTGTTTTTTATAGGCCTTCTTTTTCTTCTGTTGAGATGGACTCTCATTATATAGCCCTGGCTAGCTTGGAACTATACACTAGCTAGTGTCCAGAGGTCTCACACCTGCCTCTGCCTCTTTGTTGATTTTAAAGACAGGCGCCACCACCATCATACCTTAACAAGCAGTCTTTTTGTTCTACATAATTTTATGAGTTAAATTATTCCTATTTATTCAAACAACTAAGGCTCTCAGTGACTAGTTATTCTGATTTCTAATTCAGTATAGCTTTTCAATCTGCGATACTTTTAAATTAAATGGAACTAAAGCAATATAATGCCACTTAATCCAAGAACCAGAGCTCCGAAAGCATAGAATGCACTGTGCCTGTTGGTGGACGTGCCATAGATACTGTGGCTTATTGTGCCAGGCATACTGTCTTAAAAATGAAAGGCTATGTCAAAATTAGAATTGTTTTTGCAGATAGGCTGAGAAGCCACATAATCCATCCTGAGAGATGCATAAACCTAGAAATAGCTCCTATAGACTTCCTTTCTACATCTTCAGTTAAAGCATTGAACTTTCTATAAATGATGCGAGACAATTAGTGTGGGTAACGTCTTCTTCCTTAGACTGAAGATGGACAACTGATTGTTGAAGGAATGCTGGATATTTTCTGGGGAGTAAAACGACCCATACAGCTCAAAATACAAGATGAGAAGCAAATCTCTTCTTTTGATCTGTTGAAGTCATCGGAAACATTTTCCAGCAAAGGGTAAGCTGTCCTCCCTTGTAGTTCCTTAGATGGCCTCACAGTCTGCCTTCTTTGTTTGCGCTCTTAGCCCAGGTTGCTTATAGCTGTGCCTGAATGCTTAGGGACAATCTCACACCACTGTTAACAACTAGGTATTTGGAAGTCGTGTCTCTGAGGTTAGGTGAATTTGTGCACAATCCCTAGGTAGCCACCTGGCAGGATCAAAGGGACCTTAGTTTCAGGAGCTCCACAGCCTATGCTTGTGGGCCTTTCTGCTCCATGCCTTCTCCCAGAAGACTGCACTTGTTCACTGGAAGAAACACGATAGGAAGGTAAGATTTGAATAGTCCCTAGCTGACCTTCAAAAACTGCGAAGAAAACTTAAATTTGTCTGCTCCTTGGAACAAAGGACTCTTCTTGTTTTCTGGAAAGAAGGCTGAATCACGTTCGTGTTCAGAATAAGCAGAGCCGTTTACCCTAACTCAGCAAAGTGCGTTTGTAATTCATTGCACATAACAGTTCCCTGCATGGGTGGATGCGACTATACCTTGAATGTCTGACTTTGGTGGGGTTTTGTCATTCTCCTTTATAATTTTTTTGAAAATTAATAATTATTCCAAATTATACTCACGAAAGGGCTCACTTCCTTTCTTCTGCATCTTTATTCCCTTCACACCTCCCTCCTGACACCTGGACCACAACAATTCCCTTCACACCTCCTAGCCTCCCATCCATTCCTGGAGGAGAAATGGACAGACAGCTACCAGGATGATGCACTGGAGTGGTCTGACCTTTGGCCACATATAAGGAATTTCAGGTACCACCTTAGAGAATATACCCATGATTTTTACCTTTCCAACATTTGTCAAATCTCATTCTTGAACAAGGCTGAACATTTTGCGGTGCCCTAAACACGTCATTCAGCTTCTTATTCTCCTCACTCTGCCTGCCTGGAAGCCAGCCCACTTATCAATGGCCAGTTCTCTTACTCACCTCTAACAAATTCAACACATTCTCCTGAAAGCCTCCCGTGATCCCTCAGCCCACACTGAGCGCACTGACCTCAGTGTTCTTTATCACCTCCAGGGCATACAGTTTGTTGGACTTTTACACGTCTTGTCCTCCATCTTCAGTGTGAGTTTCTAGGAAGGCATCTTGAATTGTCTCTGCATCTCAGTGCCCAGAAGAGAGAGGAAGAAAGGAGGGAAGGAAAGAGAGGAATGAGAGATGGGAAGAGAAAGGGATGGAAAAAGAGAGAAAGAAGGATATAGAAATATGACAGATGGAGAAAGGGTGACTGGAGGGAATTAGACCAAATGAAGTCCCCATGAACCTACAAATAAATTATACATTCTTTGTGTGACAACCATCCCACCCCATCTGCCTTTCCTCACTTGTCTCCCATCCAAGCTAAGGGCAACCGGTGGGCACAGGACATGGAACTTATGAGCACGAATGGAATCACGACCTCAGGCAGCATATGAAACCCAGCATCCCACAAGCACAAGATGTCTGACAAGGCTGGCCACTCAGATGATTGGAAGCAGCATTTAAAAAGGATAGAGCCTCGCTTTAAAAAGAAACTATACACAATATGAATTCACAAAACTAGTGATTGTATTTCACGTCTTTCTCAGAACTCATGGCAAAGTTCTTTGAGAAGCCAATCCTTTTGCTACATTTTAATTCCTTTTGGTTTATTAAAACTTCCTAAGTATGAGGCATTAAAGTGATATGCCAAGGATGTAGAAAGCGCTTACACTGGTTTGTAAAGCCATTGTTATTTTAATAGCTATTCAAAGATATGTTTTAATTTCTCAAATTCACAATACTAGTTTTGAGTTAAAAATGCTGAAATTCTGGGTGATTTTTAGGAACTGGGGGTGGAAGGACAAGGTAATGCTGATGGTGCTTTTCATGTGCTGTAGCAGACTATAGACTGTCATCCTCACACCACATCTTCTGCAGAGCCCGTTTTCACTGTGAACATTGCTGGGATAGTAAGAACCCTTCTCCTCGCCGTGGCCAAACATGGCAGAAGCAGCATACAGGCAGGGAGGGGGATTTGGGCTCACTGTTACAGACCATCATGGTAGGAAAGGCATGGTAGCTGGAGGGACTCCGTCCATGCAGTGGGAGCCTGAGCCATAGCTTGTTCATATCTCAGCAAATCAGGAAGCAGCGAGCTCTGATCAAAGTGTCTTCAAGGTCTGTCCCCAGTGAGCCACTTCTGCAAGCTAGGCCATGGTCTCAACGACTCTGCAACCTCCCCAGAAAGTACTACCAGTTGGGGTCCAAATGTTCAAACACCTGAGCCTATGGAGTACATTTCACATTCAAGCCTTAGCAGCTTAAAAGCAAGACAGAAGTTATTTCTTATTATTCCAAACAGAAAATACAGCTAGACAACTGCAAAAGCCTGTGATTCACCATAGTAACCAGACATATACTAGAACACTGGGGGTATTGACCTGTTCTTTACCATAGTAACAAGATCTTCTAGAACATTGTAAGAATGCTTGTGCCATCAACCATATCTTTCTAGTGAGTAAGAATTAGCAGGAAGAGATCCCACCCTTTATGCATACAATGCAGACTCCCTCTGTCTCTCTTTGTCTGTCTGTCTGTCTGTCTGTCTGTCTGTCTGTCTCTCTCTCTCTCTCTCTCTCTCTCTCTCTCACACACACACACACACACACACACACACACACATGAGCATGATAGCATTATTTGGTTGTGGTTGGTTAGTCAAGAGGGCCTGGTGCAGTCAGCTGAGCATTCAGGCAAGGAGGCACAGCACAGGAGGAATGGCCTTCCGTGACCTCTGACTCTGAGGGTGCACAGACACCCTCGGCACTGTTTCCTGACTTCAGTTCATCTCAGGTTCCCTTCCTTGATCACCTCCTTTAAGGCGACTCATTTAAATTCTGCACCCTAATTAAATTGTGTAAAGGATTTGACCGTTCCCTTATTCCAAACCTTCTCTCATTTTCCTTTGCCCATACTGCTGTATCTACAAACAGAAGTTTATACCACTGCTCAGATTTTCTGTCCCCTGTGGGTCAGTGGACAGTGAAGGACATGGGCAGTGTGTGCTCAGCTACAATGACTCCAGTTGTGTGCCTGTCCATTCATCCTCTGAGAAAACTCCTCGCTCTCGCCATGTTAGTTTGTTTGAATCGTATTAGAAATGAGTCACACTGAGGAAGTACTAGCCAAGTGGGAATGGTAGAGGCTTCAAAATCAACCGGTTTGTTTGAGCTCTGACTATGTGTGTGCGTGGAAATGACTCTAAAGGAGGACTCTGAGCTCTCATATCTCGGCCAAATGTTTTCTTACAGAAGTTGTGTCTTTAAAATGCAACAGACAAGCAGTGCCTCACTGGGGCTACTTTTGCTTTTGCTGGTTTTCATTTCTGTTTTGAGATCTTTCTAAAGTCAGTGTTGGCATATTTTAGACAAGTTGTGGCAGAAATAAAGAGCAAGAAGTGAACAGGTGTGCATTTGATTTGCATTGATACTGGGTTTTTCTCTTCTCATGTTATACGTAGGGAAGTGACTGCACTCTATTTGCCTGTCAAATTTCTACCTCCGTTTTGTTTTGCAAAACATTACAGCCCCTCTCCAGTGTTTAGATTGGCCCCTGGTACACTTCCTGGTGCTTGGTCAGAGCAACACAAACTGCTCCATGCTTAGACATGTTCAACTGTTTGATGTTAAAGTTCTAACCAGTTCTTGCTTGAAAAGTATGGGCAACTGCCCTTAAGCTTAGTCATATGCACAAGTATATGGAATGGTTCTTGAATCACACAATCCCAAACTGTGAAGCAGTTGTTTCTGACTTCAACAATGAGTGGCAGGGAGGAAAGAGGCAAAATGAATATACTGAGCTGTTCTTCAGCCCCTGTGTTTATGTGGCACCATTATACTGCAAGAAACTAAGGAAACTGAGGGGGTGGCTGTCACATTTGCCAGTGTCACTGACCAGCTCTGGGGATCATAAGGACTCTATCTGCAGAACTTCTGGTCTCCCCGTTAGAAACAGCACCTGGTTGCTTTGCCTTTTAGTTTTAACTTCCCATTGGTATCCAGTTCCCACTGCCATGCCTCTTTCAATAGCTTCAAACATGACTACTTTAGTGCTAATATGCTGTACATTGGAGAAAATGTTTAATTTTATGTGCCTTATGAATAGGGTGTGGGTAGAGACCTGAACTGCTAACATGCAAAGTTCCTCTACTTTATGACATGCATTTTGACTGTCAATATTTCCACATAGTAGAGTTGGCTCAAAATTTTATTATCAAATATGTTATGATCATATTATCTACTTCTTATGGCTGTTATAAATGAAAAAAAGAGTTATAAAAGACTTCAAGGGAATTCCAAGACCAAGAGGAAAACAATAGCTTTGCTTTGCCAGCGTCTTCCACTGGGGTTTATAAGATGAAAAAATCGGTGTGTTGATTATTTTTCTGTTGCTATGATAAAGCGTCATGACCAAAAGCAACTTAAGGAAACATTTGTTTTCAGGGATAGAGTCCATCACGGTGAGGAAGGCATAGCATGGCTGTAGGAACAGGAAGCTGTGATCACGCTGTCCTGCACACACAGATATCAGAGAGAGAGAGAGAGAGAGAGAGAGAGAGAGAGAGAGCGAGCAGAAAGCAGCCTATGGCTCCAAATCCTCAAAGTGCACTCAATAGTATTCTTCCTCCAGCAAGACTCAACTTTCTAAACTTGCCACAACTTCCCCAAACCAATAGAGGACCAAGTCTTGAAATATGTAAGCCTTTGGGGAAACAATCATTCAAACTACCAGTCAGGGACATTTGGGTAGAGTTAAGGTCACAGACACCCCACATGCAAATACTTGGGTTTTATACTATAAAGAATTTTATAGAAGAGACTCAAAGCAGAACAAAAAACATTCATGAAAATAATAGTGTCCATTTGCCTAGAGAGGTCCAGAAATGAGCTGGACCCCAAATTGTGCCTGATCCATCATGAAATGAATTCAGATGGTGGTGATTTCAGTGATGATGATGATGATGGTGACGATGACGATGATGATGATGGTGATGATGGTGGTGGTAATGATGATGCCACTGAAGATGAGATTATTCTGAAAATATTTTAGATATAAACTGAGAGTTTAACTATATACAGGACATTATTTCAAGAATATTATATAAATTAACACATTAAATTCTACCAGTAATGCTATTCTACCTCATACAATTATTCTCATTTTATAAATGAGGGCACTGAGGCCAAGAGAGGATATGTAACTACCTTGTTTAAGGCCAGATAACTAAAATCAAAATGAATGTTAATCTGCTATTAAGTAAACAATTGTCATGTTCCATGTATTCTGGGCACTAGAATATTTTGAAATTTGCTAATATTCTACACGAGATAACAATTTTCTAGGAAGAAGTTTTTCATACATTTCCATTTTGTAAATTGGAATCTTGTCATGATAGTCACTTTATATAATTATTTTAATGCTGTAGATACTTGATTCATGAGTATAAATGACAATTTTGTATCTAAATTCCCCTTTATGAGATATCCGTGTATCAGTGGCTCACATTGGTTTCTACCAATCCTATCTAAGCATACATTTTACAGAATCTATGTAATTTTGCATTTCAGTGTATCGCTGAATTGTTTTGCTCCAAAAGATACAGATTGTATTTAAAACACGCTTATCACTGTGGTATGAATGTAATCTTTGTAACATGATAAACTTTTTTAAGTTTGGATAGCACGGTTACCTACAGAGGCCTACAGCGCCAGTCTCACAACACTGTAAGTCTGAGACCCATCATGTGGAATTAGTCTCAGTGACAGGATTTGTTACTTTTCAGGCGGATGACTCGCTGGGGAGAGTTTGATGACCTTTATCATATCAGTGAGCTGGACAGGAGCCAAGTTCTGCTGTCTGAAGGAAGGCATTCCCCAGAAGGTCAGTATCAAAGTGTATTTTTTTAACAATATGAAACACGACTCCTAAATGTTTGCCCCCCATACAGTACCACTTGATGAACTCATATTTATGTGCTTCTTAAGCATCCCCAAGGGGCCTTGTATCTTACATCACTGTGGTGCTTGTGTGGTACATCACTGGCAGTCTACTAGCCCAAAGCATATTGCCACTTTGCTTTCATGAAACTTAGGGACAAATTCTGTCTCTATATTTCATAAGAATGACTTCTCAAGAATGTTTCAGTAGTTCTAGAGGGGAACAAAGGTCCAAGATCTGTCTTCTTAGGAAAGGTCTAGTAAGCTTGGCATCGGGACAAAACAGAGATGGCAGGCCTGGTCCATCACTCGGAAGTACTGTATTCATAGAAAAGCTACTCAACTCACCCTGTTTTTATCTTACCTGTCTGAGTTCAGACTGACAGGAAAACATGTTTTTCCAGTTCTTCCATACTAAAATTGTGTATAATTTGCACCCCCCCCAACAAAGAGAGATTAAAAGAGGAAACACCAATCACATGATCACGTAAATCCTGTGAGACATAACTCACTAGCAGCATTTGCTGCCTGACCAATCCCACATAGCACCTAATAAGTCAGTGTAAACCCAGCAGTGAACCACAGTGCTTGGAAACTGCCAGGAAATGGGAGCCATCCTTGTTACTAAAAGCATACCCGTATCCCCACCATGCAAGAAGATAGGCAGCTAAATGATACTGGCTTGTGATCTTTATTCTTCCCAGACTATTTATCTTATCACAGCACCCTGAAGCCGTATGCAGACGAAGAGCCAGAATCCCCGTTGCTCTATAGGACCATGAGTGAAGCAGCTTTGGTGAGAAAAAAGATGAAGCCTCCATCGATGTACAGAAAAGACAGACACAGCCACAGAGCCTCTATCAACGGACACTTCTATGACCATGAGGCAAGTCACAGTCCCGTTAATGTGGAATAACGCTGTCCATTGCACTAACAATGCTATTTGTTTCAATTTAGACCCATAATAAGAATGTTTGTAGATGCCTAGCACTCATCAGTCTTTCCCTGTGGTGACTCATAAGCTAAGTTTGAATAGGATCTTCTTCACATCTTTCTTTGTTTAGATGTTTTTAAGCACTGATTTAAATTAGATACCTGCACAGGTTCAAGCCAGCTGAGGTCCCTGTACTGAAAGTGGGGGAGATACACAGGGTCCCATGCCTAACCAAGAAGTTATTTGCAATTGATACGGGCTGGCAAAAGGAAAATGGAATGTCACTGTGTATGTCATCACATTCCAGGACAGGCCCCATGCCCAGGAGTAGTTGGCCAACACAAAATGAACTCCATTTTTTTTTTATGTGCATTAGTGTTTTGCCTAATGTCTGTCTGTCTGTATGTATGTATGTTTGTATGTATTTATGAGGGTGCCAGATCCCCTGGAACTGGAGTGACAGACAGTTGTGAGCCGCCCTTTGAGTGCTGGGAATTGAACCTGGGTCCTCTGGAAGAGCAGCCGATGTTCTTAACTGCTGAGCCATCTCTCCAGCAACCCCCATTTGGCAGAGCGGGAGCTTTTTGTTTCATTTTGTTTGGGCATTTGTTGTCTTGTTGGTTTTTTGGGTTTATTTGTTTTGACTTTTGGTTTGGGGTATTTTTTCTGCTATTTGAGAGAGAATGAGAAAGGGATAGAATATGAAGTTGAGTGGCTAGGGAGGTGAGGAGATCTGGGAGGAACTGGGAGAGAGGAAAACATGATCAAAATACATTGTATGAAAGATTTTTAAATAAAAATAAATAATGAACTAAGTAGCCCCTGCTTGCCAGGTACATGCTATAGAGCTCAGGCTGACCTCAAACATAACCTCCTCCTGCCCCAGCCTCCCAAGCATTAAGAATATAGACAAATACACCTAACTTTAAATGTATTTTAAATAAATTATCTCATTAATCCTAAAAGCTCTCCTATCAGGGTAGGTATTGTTATTTTTTTCTCCTTTACATATAATCAAAGTTTACAGTCATCAAACAATTTCTCTTGAGTCACACTGCTTTTAACAATAACTCTGAACTTGAACCCATATTTGTCTGTCTCCAAAACTCAGACTATTAGCCAGCGTGATGGGTGAGTCCCACCTGGGTGCTGGGCGCTGAACTGACCCTTTGAAATACCTAGGATGAGCTTCTTGAGGCGTGGGTACAAAGCTTCAACAGGAAAACCAACACACCAACAAACAACATCCAAATCACATGAAGGCTCCCACTGAGATTGGTTTAGAGACATTCAAACTGTTTCTTTCGCCCAATCAAACATCACATTTTTCATCCTGCCCTTTAGATCTTGTACTTACATGCAAAATGTTCATACAAGTGTGGCTATAGTTTAGATAAAATATCCTTTATGATTATTTTTTGCTAAGATGTATAAAATTTATACATGTCTTCCTATAACAGTTGTAAGACGTTTCACTTGTTGAAGGTTAAGAAATATATCATTAGTTCTCCCAGAATTCAAAGATTTTTTTTCATGCCATGCATTTTAACAATCACTTGTGTGTTCATTCATTTGGCAAATACTTAAAAGTCCTCTGCAAGTGCAGCAAGTACTCTCACCAGGGACCCATCTCTCAGCCCCCTAAACATGGAACATTTATATCATATCATTTAAAGTTAATTTTTATGACTTTCATGGGAATTAAGTCATTATTTATAAAGGGCTTAGAAAAGTTTTATACACTGTTTAGTATATATCATTCAAATAAACAGTGTTTATTTGAGAACTCTGTGACATCATTAGGAGTAATATCATCACTTCTCAGAATTATGTAGTCCATTTCATTTCAGGTTCAAAATACTAACCGTTGTTCTTTGATGGAGTCTTATGATTTTGTTATTGTTCTTTTAGACATCTATTTTCACCCCAACCTTTGGATCAGAAACCAAAGTCCGAACAAATAGTAACATGAGAACTGAAGAAGTAATAAAGCAACTTCTCCAAAAATTTAAGGTAATCTTTCTCACTAGCCTGAGCTGCCGTAAATGCGAGCAAGCTGATGGAGACACATGAATGCACTCTTCTGAAAAAAGCCATGGACCATGAGCCAGCATCGTATGTTTGTTCAGTTCTGGTGGATCTTTTCCACAGAGCAACAAAAGCCTGGAAACTCACGTTGTCCCCCAGGAGCAGAGAAGACATATCCGAAGCGAAGGGCCAAGTGGGACACAGCTGAATACTTTGGGTCTAATTGAATCTAGCATCATCTGACACAATTGCATTTCTTCATTTTTTTTCCATTGACAGATTGAGAATAGCCCTCGGGATTTTGCTCTTTACATTATTTTTGGAACAGGAGGTAAGGAAATTTAATCTCTTTTTGTACCTGCGCTGCAAGTTAGTTTTCAGTTCATAAAGATAGAATAGGCTTGATTCTGCCATTAAAAAAGAAAAAAAAGGAAAGAAAAGATACAGACTGCAGGAAAGGCATGAAAGGGTTCATTATCACATTATCATTGTTATTTACAGAGCTTTGGTGCAAGCTAAACACACACAAGCTACCCTCCCATCATGGAGAAAATGATGCTAGACTATCATGTATCTTCTCCAGTTCCAGAGAAAGATAACCTAAGAACAAACACCTTCAGAGTTTATAATACAAAGGACTTGGCTTGTTTATCAGACATTGTCTGAGTGGAGATCAGACCATCAGGAATCCATCTGTGGGGGGCTCTTCAGGAGGTGTTGGGCTCCTAGTCTATGTCACCTATATACTTGGTTCTTTCTCCATCCCCCTCCTTGCCTAGCTAGTTCTTTGGTCGTCACTGCAGGCCACCTCTCTGACCTTGTACATTTGCTCTTTGTTATTTGACACTGAGTCTGACACATTGGAAGAAAATGAGCTCTCCCTCAGTAGAGAACATGTTCAGAACGCGGTGGGGGATATATGTTTTCAGTAATGGTTCCAAATCATCATGAAGCAAAGAGCTTAGGAATGGAAAATATGGAAGCAACTGAGGGTGTGAAACCAAATTAGCTTTCAACATAAAGGTCAAGAGAGGACTCTGCTGTGCTGAGGGGAGGGGCAGAGCCATGCGGGCTTCCTGTTGCTTCAGAAGAGGCAAAGGGATGAAATCAGCACACACTGAATTGGAATGAAAAATGGGAATAAATGGAATCCAGAGATGAGAAACAGATTTGACTATTCTGAGGAAGGAAATGAGAAAAGGGGGAATGGGAAAAGAAGATCAATTGAAGGACACTGGGGCCTTTTCTGTGTGCTTCCTTTTATTAAAATGAAATCCCAGATGGGAGATTTGACAAAATCTCTACTTTGACAAAATGCCAGTACTTTTGTGGTGGGGCATTTATCGTAATGTTTTAAATTTGAAATTCTGAGAATGTACCAACTTTTGGTCTCCTTTTCATGGCTGAATGGATGAAACCCATAAATAATGAAAAGGAGTCATCTTACTAATTCTGCATTTGTAGTTCAGCTCTTGGAATACCCAAGAATTGAATATGAGGTCGAAACTAAAGGAAGAATTAAAAAGAACTATAAAAATGGATTTATATTAACCAAACTTGAAAATAAGTATTTGTTGAGTAGATGAAGGAAGGAAAGAAGGAAGGAAGGAAGGAAGGAAGGAAGGAAGGAAGGGAGGGAGGGAGGGAGGGAGGGAGGGAGGGAGGGAGGGAGGAAGGAAGGAAGGAAGGAAGGATGGAAGGAAGGAAGAAAGGAAGGAAGGAAGGAAAACTTATAAAGAATTGAGCGACATTGTTCTTTGGTAGGACTAGGGCTCTGTCTAAATGACCTAACTAAAAGGTGGAATTCTTTGAGTTACTAAATTAGACCATATATTGAATGGAAGAAGTTTGCTTGTAGTTTTGGGAAAGGTTTTCATATTTAATTTTAATTAGTAATCTAACCCTATCTACAATTTCTCTTTGTATGGTTACAGTTAGCCATTGTCAACCATAGTCCAAGAATACTGAATGAACTTTTCCAGAAATAACAATTCCTAAGCTTAAAGTCGCATACCATCAGAGTATAGTGATAAACTCTTGGGCTGTCCTTCACTCTACCTCTCTGAGATGACTCCTCCATGTGTCCATTGTAGCCACACTGTAGACACAACCTCCCCATTAGCCACCTAGTGCTGGCTTCTTTATCAGATCAACTGTTGAGGCACCATACTCTTAGTCTTCGAATAATGTCTTTCTTTTTCTTTCCTTTTGGTAATGGCCTCAAACTACAAAAGCAGTAACGTAATGCTGACAGTTTTGTTAGACTCTATTGTGGTTCCTCTATCTGTTACTAGTGATGCTACCCTCCTACTATGACTAATTTATAAATTAAACTTTATTATACATATGTATGTATATGTTTTGGGAAAGCAGATGTATGGGAGTATATGCCATCTACAGCGTCACATGTATCCCTTGAGGTCTGGGAACATACCCACCATGGATAATGGGGCATGACTCACCCGTTTTTTTTGTTTTTTTGTTTTTTAATTTTTTTGGGTTTTCTGTTTTTGTTTTTGAGTGAGTTCTCAATTCCTGTTGCTTCCAAAACAAACCAAAGGAAGACCAAAAGACAACGTTGCACCCCACCCCACCCCACCCCCGCCATCTCCCTCCCCCTTCCTTTTTCTAGGTTCAACTCTTAACTGTGGTTCATTCCTTTTCGTTTGCAGAACAGAGAAAACTAAAGAAGACTGATGTCCCGCTGCTGCAGAGGCTTCTACAAGGACCATCCAAAAGCAACGCTCGGATCTTCCTCATGGATAAAGACACAGAAGAAATTAGCAGTGATGTATGGACGCCCCTAGTCTCCGTGTGTCCGCGCACCCCCTCCCGCTGACTCAACACACCCTTTCTTTCACACACCCTTCTCTTTCCCTTTTCAGGTGGCGCAGTACATTAATTTTCACTTTTCTTTCTTGGAATCCATTCTTCAAAGATTAGACGAGGAAGAGAAAAGGGAGACTGAAAGGATAATGGCGAAGTAAGTCCAGAGCGTGCACCTGCGCGTTTCATCCTTCCGTAGATCTAGTGCGCTCCGGGTACCCAGATTGTCATGTTCTCCCTCTCCTTTTCAGATTCAATACCGAAAGGGCCTTTATACTGAAGTGTCTTCAGAGTAAACAGGCAGCGAAAACAGAGACCACCGTCTAGAAGCACTCACAGCACCTACTGCTAGCCTGCATGCCTCACAGAGCTGGAGAGGGTACTGTCAAAGGAATGGACAATCGGCCTCTGCATTCTGGTGTGAATGACCTTGAAGCCGTGGAAAACTGAATGCCAAGCAGCCTGCTTCCTCTTTGAAATGACGAGGTTGGCTGCAATTCAGAGTTGGACTGAGACAAAATTGGACTTCATTTTCAGTAACTGAAGGAAGCCTGGATACTGTGTATTCCAAATGTCATTTATAGCAAATTCCTTAGTGAACTCAGATTTAAGTGGCCTCTGCTGATATCATGGGGTTTAAACTTGTTTTTATCTTGCACTCTGAAAAGAACTGAGACATTTGCTGACTCATAAATGATTGGAAGTAAACACTTCACTTCTTGATGTCAATGGGACACACATTCTCAAGCCATCAAGGACCTGAATTGGCCATGTTTCACAGCTGTGTAAACAATCGAGCATTTTCATAAAATTTAGAAATATCTCTGCAAGGATTGATGATTTTTAACTCTGTAGTATCAGAGCCATCTGTCCTTTGGGAATAAAATTATTTTGGACTCTGTAAAGAAACCTAAACTCAAGGCTGGAGAGAAGGCTAAGTGGGTAAGAGCACTGACTGCTCTTCCAGAAGACCTGGGTTCAGTTCCCCAGCACCCATGTGGTGACTCAAAGCCATCTACAACTCCAGTCCTAGAGGACCTGACACCTACCTCTGTGGACACTGCACACACATGGTGCACAGACATACAGGCAGGCAAAACATCCACAACACATACAAATACATAAAAAATAAAAACCTAAACCCCGATTTTCTCAGCCTGGGCCCTTCATTTTGCCCTCCCCAACCACACACACACACACACACACACACACACACACACACACACACACACACATACACACACACTTCTATTCTAGTGATAACTTCCAAGCTGGTTTTAAGTGTCTTAAAAGTTGATTGTATTCATTTTCTTTATCTTTGCAAACAAATATATCACACACATAGAATGTACTATATTAGGGAGAACAAGATTTGACTGCAAATACCTAGTTGTTGCTGGTGACTGGTGTGGATAAAGCCAAGCTTCTGTAGCTGAGCCAGGAGGGACACCACAGCATCCCTGCTGTTGCGTGTGACACTTTCGAGGTACTCACAGGTCTGCTAATCCCACTTGGAAAAAAAATATTATGGAATTTTGTTTGTAAACTCTTTAGCAGTGTGGAGTTTTAATCAATATTCTTCTAGCCCCAAACTACTTCCATTTGAATTCTTTATTTTAAATTGTTCAATCATGGTACCTGTACTAAGGTAAGGTTGTATTTTCAATATTAAATTGTGAAACAGCTGTAATAGTGAGTTATTCATTCTCAGCATCCCCAGAATCTGAACTGGGTGACAGCGTAGGAACACTGTGGCATTTCTGCCCCAGGAAGTCTCCCTCATTGATTGAAACTAAGTCTTGTATTTCTAATACTTTGCCCATCAATCAAGAAAGGCACAGTTTCATCTCACTGAAAATGGGCCAAAAGATCATAATATATTTAAAACCCACCCAGGTATGGTGATATGTCCTTGTAATCCTACCACTCAAGAGTCAAGGCAGGAAGATTATTATAAATTCAGGCCAGCTTAGACTACATAGTGAATTCTAGGCCAACCTGTGTCCCAGAATAAGGCCGTCTCTCAAAATGTTATTTATGTGTGTGTGTGTGTGTGTGTGTGTGTGTGTGTGTGTGTGTGTGTGTTTGTGTGTGTGTGTGTGTGTTTGTGTGTGTGTGTGTGTGTGTGTGTGTGTGTATAGTATACAAAGTGAATACAAAACTCAGCAAACCTTGCACAGAAAAAGACAGATGGTCTGAAAACTCACAGAAAAGAAAATGCAAGTAACTATTAAGTGTGTGCAAAGTATTGCATCTAACTGTGTTCATCAATTCAGGTCAGAAGAGAGAAACTGCAGTAACATGGGCAAAGTTTAGCATGAAGAATTATTAAGCTATGATAGCACAGCAACAATAAAGATGGGAAGAGAACTCTAATGGGTGCCCAGCAAAGTGAGCCCCACACAGTGCTGTCTTGAGTATTTGTGGAGTGAGGAGAAAATGTAGACACAATGATTTTGACCAAAGATCCAGCCTGCACTTGGTTCCAGGTTATGCCACGACTGCCTGAATCAAAAGCTAGAAAAGCAGGCCAAGTAGACAGAGACAGAGAAATCTCACCTACTGGCTGCTAGCGTTGGAGAAACCCCTGGATGCGGAGTGTCCAAGGAAAAATCCGGCCTCCAGGAGCCTGGGTGGGGGACATCAAAGACCTCTGACGGCAGTGTTTTTTCTAGCACGCCCTCTGCTGGCGATATGTGATATTGTGCAAGCTGCGAAGGAAGCTTTAAAAGGGCCTCCCCTTCAAACACACCTTCGGTTCTCACAAGGCTGAGAAAATGAAAACGGGCATCTGAGCACAACAAAATCCTTATTAGCAAGGATCAAACTGTTCAACAGATGGTGATATGTGCTGCAACAAATGGATTTTGTTTTTCCTTGAACACAAGTTAGATGTAAAATTTACCTTATACTACTTGTAAAATAGTATGTGGACATCAGTGATACAAAGGTATTTTTCAAAGTTATTTATTCCACTGATGTTTATACTGACAAAAGGAAGTACAAAGACTAAATGTTCAAAACCAGAAAAAAAAAATGATTTAAAAGGCAAGGAACATTTGCTCAGAATGTTACAGTCATTAAAATTATATTTTAATAACGGGGCTAAATTCTCCTTATGAATATAAGAATATATTATAAAATACCCATCCATTAGGTTAATGGATGAGTATTTACTCGTGTATTTGCATGCTAATGTCATATATCCACTCACAAACCAATAACAAGTTATGTATAGATTATAAAATTTTATGTTTCTCTAATTTTTTATATTTATTAAATATTATACAATGATGTATTAACTTTTCAATTAGGAAAGAGAAAATGTGTCACATGAAAGTCATCCACAAAGAATAGGAAGTACATGCAAGAATAGATTCCCACTAGATGCAAAATATTTTTAATATTATTCAAATGAGCCATTGACTTTGTGTGGTTTTTAAAAAGATCTTTCCTATCTGTCCTCCTTAATCTTTCTGCAGGTTGGCTGGACAAAATGGTTGCTTTTTCTTTTTAATGGAAAAGCAATTATAAAAGTATGGCATTTGATGAGATGTTGTAGGTTAGGATGTGGAATGACTGAATCAGGCAAGTTAATCGCACCACATGCTTATCACGTCTCCAAGATGAGAACATTTAAACATTCACTCTCTCAGCATCAGAAATTCCAAGGAACAGAGCAAAGCAGAAGGGAGAGTGTGCAACTCTTGAGATCTGATCACCGAGTTGCTGAGTTTCCTTGAAAGCTCCCCTGGGTCACTTCCTTATGTGTGTGACGATCTGAGCGGCCCATGGGGAAAGCCTGCTAGATCCTGCACTGAGCCTTTCTACCCGAAGCCAGCTGATTCTCTTCCGATAGCAGCTATCCGGATGCTCTATGCTTGTCTCAGAAGTGGATTTCTAGGCCTGAGACAAGCCTTCAAAGGCCAGTACTTAACACAATAGCTTGAATGCAACTTCTGAGAGACCCTGAGCCAGAAAACCCAATAGAACCACTCCTGGGTTCCTGATCTTCAGAAACTTTGTGAAATAAGTGTTTGCTGTGTTGTGTGGCTAAATGCTAAGATTGTTACATAGCCCTAGATTATTAATGTGGTTTCTAAGGCCAAATCTATTACAGCTATTTTTGCATAATGTAAGCCCATAAAATTTGTCAAAAATGTTTTTCCTTGTTTTAGGTGATCCAAATATTTCATTGTCAGTTATATATTAATTAAAATTAAATCCCAGATATCATACTACGGTTATTAGTCAGAGTCTGTTGCATTTATATTTGTGCTTTTTGTACTTCATATCATGTCTTGTTGTACATAGGATGTGCTCAATAAAATGAATAATTCATGAATTATCAGAAATATTCTTATAAATTCTACTGTGTATACATCTATGTGTTCACAAGTCTGATCCAGTAGCTAGAACTTTGCTATATTTTTAACTTAACATCAACTGCCCCTGCTCCCAAAAACAATCCTCCAAAAATATATTTTATTAGCTCAGAGCTCTGAGATATTCAGTTAGCCAGCATTACTGTGGAATCTGGCTGCGGGCTATGCAGATTGGTCTGAGAAACAGGGGAGAACATTCCATTTGAGGCAGCTGATGAAGGAGAGACAAGAGGTGTAACTAGGTGTAACTCCTATGTTGAAGTGTGTACATGGGAAACACATGATAGGGTGTAATTAGTAAGGTAAAAACCTTCACTGACATCCATTTGTACATTCAGTAGCATTTAATACCAGTTAGGCTGAGCCACTGACATCAATATTTGATCAACAAAACCTGAGATTTCTTGTAACTAGTACCATTTGCCTTTTCCCTTGCATGGCTTTATAGCTACTAACTAGTGTAATGATCATACAATCACATGGGGGAAATTATCATATTCCATTTTATATATGAGGAAAGTAAGCCTTGAAAAGGCTAGGAAATAGACTAAGATCTTACTCAGAAGAAATGGTTGAATTTGAACCCATGGCTAGCATGATGTATGTTAAAAGTTGAGTTCTAGGAGCCTGGTTCCAGGGCCCTGCTCAGACATCACCATCTAAGGATGCCAAAGCACATCCTATAAAATGGACAATTAGCATGTGACTTACGACCTCCCCGACTCTTCAGGTCATGTCTAGCCTACTTATAACTAGAGATTATTTACTAGGACAATGTAAATGATAAGTAAATAGCTGTTATACTGTGTTGTTTAGGGGCTAATGACGAGAGAAGACACCTGCAGCTGTTTGGTATAGCAATAATGAAGTATCCTTACTCTAGTGTCAGCCAAATCCACAGGGGCAGAATCTGCAGGAGGGATGCCTGTCAGCTACTTCACTGGACAGTTGTGAGAGCAATGTGAAGAAGACATGCAAATGTTGGTGCTCTGCATATAAGAAGTATTGAGGGAAAGAATCTCTTCATTTTAAATTAGGATATGTGTGGACATCCCTCCCCCATCACAGCCTTATCTTCCACTAACCCTGATTGCCCACAACTACTTTATTCTTGTCTTACAGCCAGTCAAACTGGGCTGAGGAGGCAGCTCCATGGCTAAACTGCTCTCTGTGAAAGCATGAGGACCTGAGTTCAGATCCCCAGCATGCATGTCAAGCCAGATGTGATGATGCACATCTGTAATCCCAGGGCTTCTGTGGTGAGATGGGAAGTGGAGACAGGAGAATCCTGAGACTCTCATGGGCAAGCTAGCCTGGCATACTCAGTGACAAACCAGGCAGAACATGACAGCCAACACCTGAGTTTGTCTTCTTCCTGCCACACATCTGCCATGGCATGCATGTGCCCACACTCAAACACGAATACACACACATGACTAAAAACACAGTACAAAAACTACAACTAAATGGCACGCTCCCATTCTCTGAAGCACCTTCACTGCTTGTCCAGCTGCTGAAGCCATTCTCTTTGTCTAGTTCTAAGCAAGGCTCTGTCCTTCAGTGGGTGGTCTCAAACTCCTGCACACTGTGATCGTTTGCTCCACTTCTGCAACACTAGACATGTGACCCATGCCTTTATTATAATGCCTTAAATTGATTATATCTCACACCAACTCATTAGTAGCTTGGACTCCCTGTATTTATATATATTTATTTATCCCTTGTGTGTTTTAAGTGTGTGTGTGTGTGTGTGTGTGTGTGTGTGTGTGTGTGTGTGTGTGTGTATACGTGTATGTGTGCACAAGCACATACGTGAGAACAGGGCCCCATAGAGGCCAGAAAAGGGATCCTCCAAACTAGAGTCATGGCCAACAATGAGCTGCCAGATGTGGCTGTGGGAAACCAAACTTGGGTCCTCTAAGAGAGTTGTTTGTGCTCTAACAGCTGAACCATCTCTCAGGTCCCCGTCACAGTATTTTACATAGTACATTGAAGTGCATGGTATGGTCAACAAATGCTAATGTTGCTAATGTATACAAACATATTGATAACTCTGGATTAGGAAAAAAAAACAATTAACTTAAGATTAAGTAAAGAGCATCTATAATTAGAATTTAAAGCTTTCTATTTTTCCAGTCAAATTAATTCACTTATTTAATGAGCACTAAGCTATTGCTGTTTATTTTATTACATAAAAGAATCATAGAAATAAATTTAAAGGCCCAATTATAAGTCATTTGCATCATTTTCAGTAGACCTTCCAGAGAAAAGAGTAGTCGTCCACTAATGCTCAAATTAAC